ATGTACAGTTGTAGGAGCTGCTGCAGAGTGAGTACACCCTACTCTCATTACCACTCGCAATCCTTACTAACAATCTCTAGCGGCTCATCGTACAACATCTACATGTTCGCCGGTCAAGATCTCAATGACCCTGGCAAGCTTGACACCCAAACGCAGCGCGACGACATGTGGATCCTTTCCGTTCCATCATTCTCCTGGATCGAAGTCGAACAAGGTACCGACAAGGCCAGCATACCTCCCCCACGTGCCGGCCATCTATGCCAAGTCTGGGACCACCAAATGATCGTCCTAGGAGGCTACAACACCGACCTCGGCTGCGACGCGCCCGGCATCTACGTCTTTAACATGAGCAGCCTAGGCTGGAGCGACCAGTTCACCGCCGTAACCGGCAAAAACGCGCTCCAAGGCTACAACTCTAAAGACAAAGGCAGCACCGGCAACCCGCTCGCACAACAAATCAACCAACGCGGTTTCGGCGTCGAAGCCGGCATCGAAGGCTCCTACGGCTACGCCGTCCCCGAAGCCGTCCAAAGCGTAATCGGCGGCGCAGCAACCGGCGGCGCCACCCTCACCGCCCCCGTCCAAACACCCACCCAAGGCCCTCTCGCAACCGGCAAACCCCAAACCTACACCATGACGGGCCCCGACGGCGCAACCATCACCAACGTCGTCAACGGAAACCCACAGGGCAGCTCCTCGGGCGACAGCGGCCCCAACATCGCCGCCATCGTCGCCGGCGTAATCGCAGGCGTCTTCTTCATCATCGCCGCTTACTTCGCCTTCTGCGCCTGGATCTACCGCCGCCAAGTCCAGATCTGGAAGTCGCACGCTGCGGCCGTACAAACACGTGCGAATGCGGAGAAACAGGGTACTTTTACTAGTAGCTCGGGTAAGAACAGTAGTGAGCGGCCGCCGGGTACGCTGGGCGGTAGTAGCCATGGGGGTGTTGCGGCGGGTAGCTTTGATATTACGAGGAGGGGGAGCGATGCCGTGCCTATGCCTACGACGGCGTATGGCGGGCCTGGAGAGGGGGATCGCTGGGGCAGGAGGAATAGTGAGGGGAGTGTTGTGGATGGGTTGTTGGATGGGCAGGAGCCGAGCTTTTGGGGGGCGAGGGGTGTGCTTTTGAATCCGAGGAGGAGTTTGAGGGTTATTAATAGGGATTGATTGGGGTAAGAGTTACCCTGTCTGTTTTCTTTTTTCATGATTCCCCGATCTAGTAACTATAAGTAAACATTTGGTTTGTATAATGATGGGTTATGGCAGAGATACATGGCTGATTGGGATAGTAATAATGAATATGGATAATGATCTACTTCTCACAAATTCATCCCTTCTTCTCTCCCTTCTTCAGCCCCCCAGACTCGCCAAGGTAACCAACGAAAAGAACCCATATATCCACACACATTGGGGGTCCCACCACTCCCCCAACCGCTCCCGTTAAGAAGCCCCCCCTCGAAATCAGACTCCCACGCGCCCGTCTGACAGACGATCTGCATCACCGTTGGAAAGCTACGCCGGCCGGTCGTAAACTTTCCTGGTGACACGTGATAATCTGTCGGATCAAACGCGTGTGGAGTTCCGTCCCGAGGGACTGGTCTGTTGCAGACGCCAGTTTGTGGAGGGGAACAGAGAGGTGGAGGGTGAGAGACGGGGAATATATAGGTGGGAGGAGAGGAGGGGAGAGGAGGGGGGAGGGGGCTGTGGGGCTGTTGCCTGGTGGGGTTACAGTGAAGGCAGTGGCGGGAGGCGGTGGTGCCTGGTGTGTGTACAGTGAAGTTGGTGGGGTAAAGGCGCTGGGACGTTGGGATAGTGAAAGGTTGAATGCAGCTTTCGAATGGATTTGTTCATTAGCCTACGTCACGAGAATCCAGACCACATCGATGACACCATCTCTTCTTCAGCCCCCCAGTCAAGCCGAGTCAAAGCCAACGAAAAGATATACGTATGTTGAGGGTCCCGCCGCTCCCCCAACCGCTCCCGTTAAGAAGCCCCAACCTCGAGAGGGGTCTCATTCCAGCCTTCTTGTCTTGAAGCCTTTGACCACGCGGTGCCATGTGATAGGGCGTCTCAACAAGCTGGCTGAGACGAGACCCCTCTCGAGGTTACTGGTCTGATACAGACCCCTTCGACCTGGGCGCCCAGGTAAAACAATTCTCTCTTTGGAGAATGACATCCATGATGGCTCTTCTTTGAGGACCATCGCGTCTAGCGTGGTTCTTCTTTGAAGACCACTATAATCTGCGAGAACCTTCTTTGAGACCCTGTGTCATGTTAGCAATTCATCGTATGTCTCGAGTCGAGAAGGGAGAAGGGAGAAAGATGGGAGAGGAGAGAGAACATACCTCGCACTCCTGTCGGCAGCCCCACCTCTCTGCCAACCAGCCCGGTGAAGAGCGTCCCTATAATATCTTTCCTATCGTGTACACCCGTTTCAACTTCTTACGGGTTCGACACAACGCCGGCACACACCTCCACCGCGTCTCTCTGGTCTCGTGCCGGAATCCCTTCTCTTCTCTTCGACATCGGACCCCGTATGCAATGACTCCTCTTTGGGTAGTCGCCATACAGCTGTGTCATGTCAGCTCTCCGTCGCGAATGTATCGTGGAACAGGTGGAAGGTAGAGAGGGGGAAAGGGAAACAAGTCATACCTCACCTCCCGATGTTGAACAGCCCCACCGCTCTGCCAACCGGCCCTTTCAAGAGCCTCCCGCTACAGGCCCTTCCTACCGTGTAAACCCTTTGGGAGACCCACGGTCCAGGTTGTAGCGCTGGTGTGATGCACACCCCAGAGATGTGTGTTGATGAATGTTGATGTGAGGGGAGGGAAGAGAGAGGTGCGGTAGGGGCAGATATATATATGGAATATGTTTGCTAGGAAGAAAGATCTCGTGCGCTTGACTGTGAGGCGGGTGATGAATATTGTGATTGTTAGGTGTTTTCTTCCGCGCTTTGATGTCAGGCGCGAGTGTGATGGGAGAACCGACGAGACATGTGGAGAGAAGATTGGAAAGTGAAAGTTTGGTATAGCGAGGATTGAATTTACGCCTAGATGTCTCTGAGTACGACAAGAATAGTAGAATACGTGACAGACAATGCCAGCATCGCGCGTCCACTGGCTGCGATGATGTATGTCTCGCGCCGCTGGACCGAAGAATCAAGCTTTCTGTATGTGAAGCCACATTGCTCCTTCTGCACATGTAAGACACCTTCCGTTCGCTCTCTTCATCCGTGCGAACCAAACAACATCTCCTTGATGAACTTGGCACTTCACACCCCTCACATGACGTTCTTCAGTCAATGGCTTTCACGCGAGGTGCGCGGTTGTTCGGCGCCGATCAGCCTCGGCATATGGACAGCCGAACGCTGGACCGACGTAGGCCCAGCACCAGCTCTCCGGAGCACTGGAGCTTGCACATGCGAAACCCAAATCCGCCTTCGCCCACATCAGCCACGCATTTTCTCTCTTCATCGCATTGTGGGAGCAGTCGCGTAGGTGTGCTCTTTCTCTAGACGGCTTCATTGGTCTTCATACCTTACTCGACTACGTCTATCTGGATTCTGCGCGCGCCTGTTCATCCCACGCGACCCCACTACAGCTCCCACCATGTCAAACACGGCGGATTCGGTCATTGAGAAGCTGCCCAACACAGCTGATCTGAAAGAAGATGTCAAGGCGGCATCTAAATCTTCGCTGCAGTCGCTGCGGGCGCTGCTAGCGGGAGGTGTGGGTGGAGTGTTTGCTGTTGTGGTCGGCCATCCCTTTGATCTGGTCAAGGTGCGCATGCAGACGGCAGAGAAGGGCGTCTACAGCGGGGCTATGGACGTTGTGCGGAAAACCATCGCAAAGGAAGGACTGGCTAGGGGGCTGTATGCAGGTGTTTCTGCGCCGCTTGTTGGTGTAACGCCCATGTGTGAGTACAGGAGGACCAGTATATGAATAACCCAGGCTGACAATCGACAGTCGCGGTGTCCTTCTGGGGCTATGATCTCGGCAAGCAACTCGTATCCAGCGTATCCAAGGTCGAGAACAACCAGTTCAGCGTCGCACAGGTCTCCGCCGCCGGTTTCTTCAGCGCTATCCCCATGACCATCATCACCGCACCCTTCGAGCGCGTAAAGGTGCTCCTGCAGATTCAGGGACAAAAGAACCTGGCGCCTGGCGAGAAGCCAAAATACGCAGGTGGCATGGATGTGGTCAAGCAGCTATACAAGGAGGGCGGCATCAAGTCAGTATACCGCGGCTCTGCCATGACACTGGCGCGTGACGGCCCTGGGTCAGCCCTCTACTTTGCGACATACGAGACCGTCAAACGCAGTCTCACGCCCAAAGATCCTGTCACCGGTCAGCCGGGGTCGTTGAGTATGGGCGCCGTCATGGTTGCTGGTGGTGCTGCCGGTATCGCCATGTGGATACCCGTCTTCCCAGTCGACACCATCAAGTCACGGTTGCAAAGTGCCGAAGGCCGACCAACAATCAGCGGAACCATCAAGGGCATCCACGCGAGCGGTGGGCTCAAGGCTTTCTTCCCTGGTATTGGCCCAGCCATGGCACGAGCAGTACCTGCCAACGCAGCCACCTTTGCCGGTGTAGAGCTCGCGCAAAAGGCGATGACGAAGATGTTCGACCGCGACGGCGAGTAAGGGCTTCGCCAACGTCCTCAACTTTTTCGGATTCGCTTTTCTTTCATACTCCATGTCCATCTCATGTTGATCACGAACGATTTGGTGGCATTGCATATGGCGTTGTTAGTTTTCGCCTCCGCGCTTAGATATAGAGCAAGGGGCTTTCTGGGCGAACTCCACCCTTCGTCCCACTCGCCAATAGATACTGTTCTCACATACCTACCTTCCCTACGTCCAAAGTACCGGTTTTGGGCGGCCAAGTGGTCTGTGCAAGTCAGGGCCCATCGGAATGCGGTTGCATCCGCAGTCCACTCTTCCCGCCCAACCAAAAGCCGGCCAAGATGACAAAAGCCTTGCGATCGCTACCGCTGTCATGGACCTGGTAAGGCGCCGGATGTAGACATGCAGTACCAGGTGCATACCGCCTTTGTTTGCTATACAATCCTCCGGTAGTCGCCACCACCCCCCGCGTCAATATGCCTTGCTTCGCCTTTGTCCTCGTCTATATCTCCCGTATTCGTACTGTATGTGTTTCAGGGATTATCGTGTCGATACTATTAAGAGGTGGACGGGATGTCCTGATGACGTGTGGAGATTGGCTTACCTCGGTGATGAATCGAGGTGTTGAGAGATATGACAATGGAGACTGCGCGAACCCGGACACCATCGATCTCGAGATCTGTTGCGCCGAAGTTTTCGCCCTTGAACCAGCACCCTGTGTCTCGTACCACTGAATCAGATAAGGCTCATCCCATCTTTCTCGAGCACCCCTTCGAAAGACTGTCTCCTACCTTGGCAGCATATCCACGCGTTGTCGAAGCTTTACAGAGGAGACGAATATCAGTTTATCCCGACGTCAGCGAAACGATGCAGAAAGCGCTAGGTCACCGTGCCGACTTCTTCGACGATTTCTCTTCGGAATCAGAATGGGAGGATAGGATGAGCAAAACGATACAGAGTCCGATTACAAGCCAAGGGCCGGGTCTGAGAGACATTCCGTACGACATCCACGCCGACACTGAGAACGCGCAGCGCGGAAGGAACAGGCAACGCAGTACCATCACCTCGCTGCCCAGACTGGCAGATCTTGCAGATGTCTCTGGTTCTGGAACTGATGATAGCGGAACCGGCGATGAGCGAGCTTCTGGTCGAGGAACCAATCACGCACGAAAGATGTCGCTGACACGTCTGAACAAGGACAATGTGCGCCTGGTGGATAACAGGTCTATCAGATCGAGTATCGACTCGCCTAGACACTCGTTACGCAGTAACATGTCTTTGCCGAACTCTCCGCTCATGGCATCGGCCAATTCAGCACCATTCTCTACATCAGGACCTCTAGAGGACACACTTACCGCTCTACCGCAAAGTCCGACGTTCCGCAGAGAGCACAGAAGGACCGCGTCGTCGAACAGCACATCCGACAGCGTCCTCGCAGACTCCATCATCAACGCCCACGTCATGACCATGCGCGCCCTCGAAGCCTTGAGTTCCGACCCGCAGAGTATAGACCCTCGAGTCAGTAGCGACATGGCAAACGCAGCAGGTCGCTCATACCTGCACTCCGCCTCCTCAACCTCCTGGCCCAAATCCACCTCTTTCTCCGCAAACCGACACGTCACCCTATCCCCCTTATCAACCAGCGGTGAAGACCAAGACGACAGAGCCAGCCGCCACCGCACCGCACAAATCTACTCCCCAGCCCTCAAATCACCCAACCCCTTCTCCCCCGTCCCCAACACCGCAGCCACCAACACAGGTCATGACCTCCTCATCCCGAAGCCTAGCTACATCCCGCAAAAACACGCCAGTATCCTAGACTCCCATCTCTCGGCCCTCAACTTCTCGCTTTCGAACCGCACGACGGAGGATTACACGAGGTTGAACTCGTGCTGTACGAGTGCGTTTCCGTTTGCAGATGAGCCGAAGAGCCCGTATGATGATCGCAAGGGAAAGGAGGTTCTGGGGCTTATGACGGGGAATGGGAATGGGGATGAAGTTGATATGAGGAGTCGGAGGGAGAGGAATGAGAGTGCGCAGGGGGTTGTGAGGGGTAGTGCTGAGGAGAGGGGACGTGGAGGTGGAGGTGAGAGGGGAGGGGTGAGTATGGAGGAGGGTGGTGTTGTTGTGATGGTTGGGTTGAGGAGGTGGACGTGGGGTATGGGGAGGGGGAGATGTGCATGCGCGTGTGGTAACGCGGATGAAGAGCAGGCTGGCCTATCACCAGGAAGAGAAGAGAAGTTGGCCAAAATCGTCATTCCAACGTACGCCTCGTCTTGGACGCCGAAACACAGCTATACCAAGAGCAGTATCAGCAACTGCAACAGCAGCGAAAAGAGGATGGATCACAGCCCTAAGATGAAAAGGAAAGAGCGCTCCGCCGATTTCGACGACGAAGCGTTCGCTTTGGCGCTCAGAGCTGCGAATCGCGAGTTGGCGGGTAACTGGTTCCGGAGGACGTTTAGCGCGAGGACCCTGAGTGGGATACATGTTGAAAGAGGGAGTACAGGGGATCATGGCAACGGCAACGGCGACACTAAGGACGACCGCGATGTTCATCCTGCGCTGAGATCTCCGCAGAACAGACACCCTGCAACGCCCTCTTCAGACGACCTACTGGCTTTGTACAAAAACCCCCAAATTGGACGTAAGGGGTACACGTGGATATCTTGGGCCCGACGTAACACCCCCCATCCTTCCCCTTCTCCCTCTCCCTCTCCACCAACCATCCACCTCACCTTCTCACTATCCCGCCCCCGCATCCTCGTCGTCATGGGCATCCTCCTGCTCATCAGCCTTCTCGCAGCCGCAGCATGGATTCTAGTCGGTGCCGGCGAGGGGAAATTGACACGGAAGGAGTTTAGCCAAAGGGTGGGGAGTGGGATGGCGATTGCGGGGTTTGTGCTTGCGGTGGAGGCGTGGGTGTGCGGGGCGTGGGTTGCTTTTTCTTGATGGGGAAGGGGATGGAATGGAGAGGGATGGGATGGGATGGGGGTTGGAGAGGGGGGTGGATGGGGATGGATGGGGATGGATGGGGATGAGAGAGAGGTTGGTGAACGAGCTCCTGGCCTGGGTTTAGAGATGAGAATGGATGAATTTGGTACGGGAGATTGCAAAAAGTATGATGTCTTGGAACTACCGTGCTATTATATATCGATGGTATACCTCTAAGTATCCTTAGGTCCCCTATGCTTCTTCCCCTGCGTCCACTTCGCGATACTTACAGACTTATCACTATCCTTCTTCTCCTCATCCCTCTTCACCGGTTGCACAGCACAACTATCCGCACAGATCCTAATAAAGGTAGTAGCGGGATCCGAAATGAATCCGTTGATCGTGCTATACAGGATGCAGTTCGAGGAATTGAACGCGAACGCTGAGCAATTGTTCAACGCGTCACACCGTTGACGGCAGACGTCTGCGTTTGGGATACCGCCAATGGAGAGGATGACTTGCGAGCCGGCGGCGGGTATGTTTCCGCAGCGGACAAAGTAGTTGTCTTTGCATTGGGCGTTGTTGGCGGAGCAGGCGTTGGAGATTGGGGTGGTGAATTGGGGGCAGTTGGAGTATTTGACACAGGATACTGTTGGTGCGGCGGGGACGCAGACGGAGGGAGTCGGAGTTGGGGTCGTGGTGGAAGTGGAAGTGGAAGTTGCTAGTGTTGTAGGCGCGGCGGTGGTTGCTGGCGCGCTAGTGCCACAATCGCGGTTGTAGTATGTGAGACCAGATCCTGGCCTAGGGTCGACGTTCGTGGCGGTGATGGGTATCCGGGCTAGATAGCATGTATCATTATAAACGATGAAGCTACCGCATTCACTCTCTGCGCGACATTTTGCTAGACAGTCCTCGTTGGTTGTGAATGACGAGGTTTTTATGACCTGGAGGTTGATGTTGTCGATCCCTTCCACGCCACAGAGTTCAGCAGCAGTCGGAGATGGAGCGGGCGTTGACGAGGTTGTGGATGTTGCCAATGTGGTAGGTGTTTCTGTAGTTGTCGGGGCGCTTATCCCGCACTCGCGGTTGTAAAATGTCAAAGGGGATCCTGGCCCAAGGTCGATGTTTGTACTGGTGATAGGCGACTCATTGAGATAGCACCCGCTCTCAGAGATGATTACACTGCCGCATCTACTCTCAGCCCGGCAGTTGGCCAGGCAATCCTCGATAGTTGTGAAAGGGCTGCTTGTGAAGGTGGAAGGTTGTTCTTTAATGTAGCCTTTTGTGCCGCAGAACTCCGCGGTAGATGGGGAGGGTATGGGTGTTGACGTGATCGTGGAGGTTGCTGTCTCGGGAGTTACGGAGATTCCGGAAGACGAGCTGGAGGAAAGTAACGTTGAGGATTCGTCGGTTGATGACGAGCTTGAGGCGGTGCTGGTGGTCGTTTCGCTGGTCGACCCAGAATTTAGGGAGGAGCTAGAGGACGTAGCGGTACTAGAGCTAGAAGTCGACGAGCTTGAAGCGGTGCTGGTGGTAGTTTCGCTGGTCGATGTGGAAACTAGAGTGGTGGCAGAGGACGAAGCGCTGCTGGAGCTGGAGCTGGAGCTGGAGGACCTGGAGGACCTGGCCGAAGACACGACCGCATCGCACTTTCCGAATCCAGCTTGACATCCCGTTCCACAGTATGCGCTTCCGCTACCACAGTACGAGTACTGCGAGCAACAGTCGCCGTACTTTCCACCTAAGCATGTCATTCCCGCCGGGGATGCCCCATACAAGTTGCCACAGCGAGCGTTGGTGGTGACCTTGACCTTCGCGCCAGTAGCAGAAGGTGCTGTCGACGAAGCTGTCCGGGTCGAGGTAGAAGTACTGACGCGGCTAGATGTTGTCGAAGTACGCGCCGTTGCGACGACGCCGTTGCAAGTACCGAACGACGACTGGCATCCAGTTCCGCAGTAGTCTTTCGTCTTTCCACTGCACGCGAAATCAGTCGATGACCCTCGAGACCGAAGCTAGATGCCATACCAGTAACCATATTGAGAACAGCAATCACCCCACTTTGAACCTTTGCAGGTCATGCCTCCCGGCAACGCATTGTACGCATTTCCGCAACGGGCATTCGTTGATACTTTGCCAGCTGCAAGCGTTACCGCTGCTGAAAGGGAGAGGAGAAGTGTCCAGCGCATGGTGGATGATATTAGGAATTAAGGATTATGCTGTACTAGAAGGAGTGACAAATTGACGATGAGCGAGAGAGTGACTGTGGGTGAGGTGCTCGTAGAGAGTGAGACGAGTGTCTAAACAAGATTCGGAAGCCGTACAGCTATATGCCTCTCGCTTTAGCTAACCAGCAAGTGCTCATAAGATGACAGTAATGTACTAAGACTAGGTGCCGAAGTGGCTTGCCCACGTACCTGCATCAAGTTCACGATAGCCTCACACAGGCGTTTCCGCAAAGCCACAAACGCACGCATTGGGCTGGCTTCTCGAGAACATATTGACTTGGCACTCGCGGACATCAGGCCGAACATCAGGCCATGGAAAGGAAGCAAAGGCCATCGTGAAGAAAAAGACATTGCGCACGATGAGGTCGACGAGGGTGAGACAGTAGCGCTGCGGGTGATTGGCGCGACCCCTGGAAAGCACGTGTAGACGCGTTCTGGACGCAAGCCACACGAGAGCGAGGCTGCACCACGACTCACGATACTCTGCGCGATCGGCCGCCCCGGGTGCGGAGGCGTTCCGGGGATTTAAGTGAACAACGCAGGGACATGATGTGCTACAGAGTTTGCGCTATGATCTCATAAGGACGCTTTTGTATTATTTCGTTCTCTACTATACTCTCAAAGACGTCCCAGCCCTCCACAATGACCGAAGATCACGAATACGTTGCCGTGTTGATGGACTGCTCATGGAAATGTGACAGAAGAGTCTTCAAAGTGGCGATGCAAAAATTTGATTTCTCAAATTTCTGCATCACCACTTAAAGACTCAGCCTTCCAAATCCCCACTCCTTCCTCCGCAGTCCAACACCCAACACCCAACACGGCAGGCAGGCAGTCATCATCATCACCTTCCCATCCTCTTCCTCTTGAACGCTCCCCATTATGCTATAACAGACGATCGTCCAAGAGGAAGAGGATGACACGGCGCTAATGACTACCTGACTGCCAATGAAGTCTACACCTGTTCCTCATGCTTCTCTCAATTGGCGATGTAAGCGTGCATTGTACGTATCCTGTTGGATTCCTACAATGGGGGTTTACATCGCCAATTGCGAGAAGGATGTTGTTGCTGCTTGCGCATCAACGTCGATATTGCGCTGTACTCTTCTCTCAGTTGGCGATTAAGGACTTCCATTTCCATGTTCAACAGGAATAAGGAAATGAAAGTCCTTAATCGCCAATTACGAGAAGGATGTTGTTGCTGGTTGGGGATCTACATAGATATTGCACTGTACTCTTCTCTTAATTAGCGATGCAAGTGTAGCATTTCCTTACTCCTGTTGAATAAGGAGATGCTACATTTGCATCGCTAATTACGAGAAGGATGGTGTTGCTGCTTGCGCATCTATGCGAGATATCGCGGTAGACCAGAAGGGGTGCGAGGAAGACTGCGCGGTGACCGTAACCCGTCTCCTCTCCAATGATCATTCCACAGCGCTGTTCGTAGAGTTGATCATAGATCCACTCATCCACTTCCTCCACCCTTCCCCAGCTTCGCCCAGGGATCCTCAACAAAGCTCGGGAGAAAGTATGCCGTATCTCCATTCTCCATTCTCACGCCGTGGCGCAGCGCATTCAGCTCAGCCTTGGAAATTGCTGGACCGCCGAATGATACCATCTCTGCCGCGGGCGGGTCGCCAGACATCGCAAGGTTTGGAGTGCTGATCTCGGTGGCAGCGGGTTTCTCGGGTAGGTTCTGGCCGCGAGCTAGAAAAGCAGCCAGACCGGAGTCGGCGGGTTGGTTCTTCTTTGCTTTACCCGGCGCGCTGTTGTGGGGTTGCGGCGCGGGGTTTGTGAAGTCGGATACAGCGTCGGACGCAGCATCGTCGAGGTTGATCTCGTCTTCGTTGGCAACTTTCTTCGATCTGACACCCAATTTGGTGGAGTTGGCGCCGCTCGCATCAGGGCCAGCTTTTGGCGAGGCGGTGTGGTCGTATTTGCGTTTTTTCGTTCCGCCGAAGGAGGCGAAGCCCATGGCCGCCGCGATCTCGTCGTTTTCGTCGTCTTCCATGGTGGAGGCTTGGTCGCGAGAGTTGAGGTAATAGTCGTGACAGCCAGAGTGGGATTACACGTAGGACCACGGCGCCAGCGCCAGAGGTGTCGAGGTCATGAGCTTGCGCACGGATTTTTAACAGACGTCGGCACCTCGGGGCTTGGCAACTGTCTCCAACGCCAGCGACCCACCTTCCATCAGCACACTACTCCAACGCTACAACGGAGATCCACACTCCGAGCCATTTCGTCACTACCATTCTATACGCGTGTGTATTCGTGTGATGGCTTCCGGAAGAACTACCACACCTCGCTCAATCGCACAGCGACGATCTCCACTCCGATGGAGAAGGTAGTATCGTCGGGGTGTTCTTGCTCCGCATATGATGTCAACCGGCACTTGAGGACGTAGTATGCATAGTCGGACCGCGGCTTCGGGATAGGCGGATGGATATATAAGCTTTGATGTGAGCCGTTGGTAATGGCTTGTTCAAGCCAAATTCTTATCTTTGGGTTGTCGAGATGAAAGTCGCGACTCAGGTGTTGTTCGCCTCGTTGGCTGCGGGCTCTGTGCTGCCGAGAGGGGGTGGGAGCCATAATGGAAGTGCGATTGCAGACGACGACTTTGTCTATGTGGATGGATTGAGGCTGTATAATGGCGATGGATTGTACTATCTTACTGGTAAGGATATGCTTCTCTCCCGTACAAGTGGTGGGCTGACATGTTCAAGGCATCAACTACTGGGCTTGCATGAATCTTGCGGCAAGTCCAGAGGCCGGAGGCAACTACTCGCGTTTGGTTACGGAGCTCGACCAGATGGCTGCAAAAGGCATAAACCACCTCCGCATCATGGCTGCTTCGGAAGGGGCACCAACACCACAGCCCTTCAGGATGACCCCAGCACTCATGGAGTCACCTGGCCAGTACAACGAAGACGTCTTCGAAGGTCTCGATATCTGCCTTGCTGAGATGTCGAAACGCGGCATGCGCGCCACCATGACGCTCAACAACGAGTGGCAGTGGAGTGGTGGATTCGCCCAGTACGTATCGTGGGCGAACAACAACACTGCAATTCCTTATCCGTCAAGCTGGAACCAGACTGCACCGCCCCAGCGCGAAACCCCTGGAACCGGATGGGGAAACTACACCGTCGAAGGCGTCAACGCAGCTCCATACGACGAGTTCACTTCCTTCGCCAACCTCATCTACAACAACACGCAAGCCGAACAATGGTACAAAGACCACATCAAGACCGTCATGAGTCGACGCAACACCATCACAAGCCGCCTCTACACCGAAGACCCAACAATCATGACCTGGCAACTCGCCAACGAACCCCAACCCTCCGACCAACTCGGCTACACAGGCCCCTACAACATCTTCCTCGAGCCCAACCCCAACGACCTGCTCTTCCCCTGGGTCGACCGCATCTCCGCCTACATCCGCTCGCTAGCCCCCAAGCAGCTCATCAGTGTCGGGTTGGAAAGCAAGCAAGGCGAATACTACTTCAAGCGCGTGCACAACTTCTCCACCGTCGACTACGCGACAACCCACTGCTGGGTCCAGAACTGGGGCGTGTATGACATGTACAACGCCAGCGACGCGAATCTAGTCGCTGCCCAAGATTTTGCGCGTGACTTTATGAAGAACAGCAGTCAATGGGCCATGGACATTGGTAAACCTGTTTTTCTGGAGGAATTCGGCATGGCAAGAGATAACTGGGTGAATGAAGATAAAGAATACCCATACTTGAGCGACGCGAGCACGACGCACAAAGACGCTTATTTCACGACGATTATCGGAGCTGTTATGGATGAGTTCAGGAATGGGGGCGCGTATATCGGGACGAGTCCGTGGGCGTATGGCGGGATCTGGAGACCGGAGACGCAGAAGGCGAATGAGTTTGGGATGGTTTGGGCGGGGGATCCGCCGCATGAGAGTCCGGGGTGGTATGATCTTTATGATGAGGATTGTGCGATGGAGATTGTGCATGCGCAGCAGAAGATGATTAGCTTGTGGATTGAGAGGCAGGGGAAGAATGAGACGGGGTATCAGTTGGGGTGAGATAACGGTTGCTCTTTGCGCTGGCCGTTTCGCATCGCACAGTTTTGTATAGCTGGTTAATCTTGCTTCCACTGTGGATCAAGAAGGTGCATTGAATACCACATTCCTATCATTCATCTTGAGGTATCAAACATGTTCTTCAAATTGCCCTATCGAACACTCCCCCCTCCTACAAAAACCTCGACGGACTACTCTTCTTCAACACCAACGGATGCCGATGCACACTCGGCATGAGTCCCAAGCCAATCGCCCTCCGAATCGCCTTAGCAACCTTCCTCTGATTCTTCGGGCGAAGCCCCGTATCCTTGCTATGCTTAACCCTCCCCATCTCCGTCATATACTCGCTCATCATAGTAAAGTTCTTATACTCCAATATCGGATTTATGCCCAGCACATCAAACGCGTCTTGCTGCGGCTTCTTGCGCCCATACTTCCACTTCTTTTGCTCGGTGCCGGAGAGGTCGTGGGGGGCGTAGACGTCGCCCGGTTGCCATTTTCGGTAGATTTGCCGTTGGTATTGGGCCGCGCGGTCGGATTCGAGGACTTCGCGTGGCATGTTGGCGGAGAGGCCCATGGTTGAGGCCATGCCTGTGAGGGAGGGGCCGGTGCGCGGGCGTGTGGTGTTTGTGTTTGGGGGCGGGCGGGCGGCGGCGGTGCTGCTGGCGAGGATGTCGAGGATGCCGTCTTGGGGGCCTGGAGGTGGTTAGAGGGTGGGAGGTGTGGTGGAGGAGGGCCGTTGGAAGATGGGGTCGTGTGTATGGGGGAGGAATTGGGCGCACCTTGCTTATGGGACCCGGTGGAGAAGTAGCGCATGCATGTCGAGCTTATGGACGGCAGCGGCCGCAGTGGTAATCTTGTTATTGACATGTTGGCGGCTGTGGTGGTGTTGCCGTCGTCGTCGCCGTTGTCGTGACTTTTCGAGATGCGGCCTCGGCGGTCGGAAGTTGACTTTCTTTAGCGCAATTGGATTTCACAGCAGGCAAGAGCTCCCGCAATTGCTCCCCTCACTCCCCGTCGCCGCCACTGGATCCCGCTTCCATCCCGTCTCTTTCGTGTATATACCGTTTGTGCGCCTTCCTCCACCTCATGGACGCCTTCTTCGCCTAGATACCCTTCCCACCGTGCGCCAATTGCACGCCCAACCTACGTCACCACACTTTTGTCCTGCGCTTAGCGAACGTCGCCGCCGCCATGCCCTCGCACTTGACCCGCCTCGTCTTCCGCAACATCATCGCCAACGAGCCTCTGCTATACCGGGGATGCCGCTACCGAGCCGTCCGACCCCGCATCATCACCCAGCATGGCGCCCGATTACTTCCCCAGACGCAACGGCGGACTTTCTTCGGGGAGCTGTTCAAGCAAAAGCGGAAGCTAAAGCCTGCAGAGGCGCCGCCGGGTCTGAATACAATGGCTGAGGTGTCGTATAAGCGGGCGAATGACCTTAGGCCGCCGGCACCGAAAGACGTTGCGGATGCGATCAAGGAATTCTTTGCGCAAAGAAAAGGCACGTTTGAGGACTGGCATGTGGGGACCGCGATTGAAGCTCTGAATTATCTGCTGGAGAACCCGAGAGAAGACGGGAAGCCGTGGCTGAGCCGGCATGACCTGGATAATATCTTGGAGAAACTGCTGGACACGTCGAAGCGGCCAGAGATTCTAGGGAAAGCGCACATGGCCTTTGGGCGGCTCGTGGTTGACGAGTTGGCAAAATCTGAAGAACAAGAGCCCGAGAAAGCCGGAGAGAAGAAGACCAAGGAACTCAAGGTCCCCTTTAAGATGTACATCGACTCGAGGCATATCCAAGTTCTATCCGCGTTCGGTGCGGCTACTCAGGCAAGGGATATCGCAGTCACTGCGTTCAAATACGACAAGACAGCGAATGCCTTGATCCGTGGCGCCGTCGTCTCTAGCTGGAACACAGTGATTGGAGGAATCATCCGGGAGAACAGTCTGACCGAGGTGTCAAAAACGGTGGATGCTTTCAAAGAAGCCTCGGTTCCATTGACCAGGCCTGCGCAAAATAAACTCGTAGCATTCTACGCTGAGCGTGGAGATCTGGAAAAAGCCAAATCTTGGTACTCGCAACCCGTTCACACCAAAGTGGGCCACCAGGTTACGCAGCCATCAGGCGGCACCAGCTCTGCTCTGCTAAAGGCCTGCGCCGCAGCAGGCGATCTTACTTACGGTCAACAGGTGGTAGCGAACATGCTCAAGGTTGAAATGCCCTCGAAACCTGAGTGGGATGCAATCTTTCTCTGGTCTGCTGCTATCGGCAAGGGCCCTGATGAGATCGCTCGGATGATCAACGTGCTGATTCGCAGGAATGACGAAGCACGACAAAAGGATCCCAAAGTCCCTGTAATTCGCCCAGACACCGAGACCATCAATGCGTTGGTAGAGCATTGCATGTCTAAGCAGGACCCCTACCTGGCGGAGCGCTATATTGTACTGGGCGAGAAGTTTGGCATTCATCCCGATGAGACGACCTATACGATGCAGATGCAATACCGCATCTCCGTCGGTGATCTCGATGGAGCCAGATCTGCCTACTTCAACCTGCAGGGTAGCTTTTCTGGGGACGAGCGCAGTGTCGCAGTCGTCAATGAGCTGATTCAAGCACTGTGCGTATCAAAACAGCATCATTTCGATGAGCTGATGGCCATGGTGGACGACTTGCACGAGCGCAAGGCCAATTTTGCTCCAGAAACTGTCGCAGCGCTGACGCTGTTGCATCTGCGGAGGGGTGAGATCCACGACGCCATGGATCTTCTCCAAGTGCACGCACATCAATACTCTCCAGAACAGCGGACGATCATCCAGAAGGCGCTTTCCATGTTCATTCTGGATGGCGAGACTAGCACCGCAGACGCTTGGGATGGCTACCAGATCTTGCGCAACGTGTTCGTCGAAACGCCCCGAGAGGACCGCATACCAATCATGAACGGCTTCTTCGCCAGGAATCGTTCCGACATGGCCTGCCACGTCTTCTTCCACATGCGCAACCACGTCAGCCCGACTCACACAGCAACAAGAGACGTCTACGTCGCAGCCTTCACTGGCTTCGCCCGCTGCCAAGATGCCGAGTCCCTCGAACTAGCCCACAACCAACTCAAACTCGACCTAAACGTGGAAATGGACACCAAACTCCGCAACTCACTCATGCTCGCATACGCTGCCACAGGCGAGAACCGCAAAGCCCTCTCCTTCTGGCGCGAGATCTGCGATTCCAAAGAAGGTCCCACATACAACAGTCTCGCCATCGCCTTCCGATCAAGCGAAGGCATGCACTTTGGCTCTGAACACGCCAAATCCATCTGGAAGCGCTTGAAAGACCAGGATGTTGAGATTGACAAGAATATTTGGACAGCTTATATGTGTGCTGTTGCGCGGAATCATAATCACGACGAGGCTTTGGCGCTGGTGGAATCTGTGGAGGAGGAGTATGGGTTTACTCCTGATTTACAGATGTATGTTTGACTTCTCTCAGATATTGTACTCGAAGACTTTACTAACGATGGATTAGTCTGGGTAGCTGGTTCAACTGCACGGCTAATATTGAGAGGCAAACTCGTGTCGAGGCTTGGATCAAGCAGCATTATCCCAAGGTGTGGGCTGAGATGGAGGCGCTGGGTCATTGGGTTACGATGGATGGGTTTGGGTATCGCCAGTATAACATTAATCGCGATCTTGATCCGTAGAGCGGTGGGGAATGGAGGAGTAAGGTAAGTACGCCAGCACTCGTGCACATCTAGACATGCGCAGCGAGGACAGCAAACTGTCCCAATGGCTTCAGGTCCAAAAATGGACAGTACTTGTGCCAATTGCGGGCTACTGGAGAAGATGGTAAGATCTATCGAAAAGCTTTGGAATCCGATGGAATCGTACAGGGAATCTAATACAGGCTTGGGAAGACTATCAGAGTATTGCGGGTAGTATGAGATTACGGTCGACCGCCGCATTTCGATTGCAAAGGTCTTGGGCCATGTGCTTTGCGCCTTGATCAAAATATTCACATTCGGCCAAGCATATCTTGTTTTCCTCTTCGTTCGTCAGGGTCTCGCTTCTCTCACTTTTTACTCGCTGGCGCTCTGTTTGTCCAGACGCCGACCAGGCCTCGGCGTAGAACGAGCGCTTTTCCACCGCTTCTCCTACTATAGACAAAACCGCCTAACCGTCACCTCCTGCTGTCTCACTCCCACCCACACCTCACTAGCTGGGTATCCGTTTGTCGCCCGCCTGGCCTTCGCGCGCCTCCCCACCGCTCTCTTACTAGAGACAAAATCCCCCCACCCGCCACCTCCTGTCTTCTCTCTTCCATCCACCTACCTGCCCTATCAATCCAACCCTCTCTCTCTTTCTGGCTGCGAAAGCCGCCCCATCATCTGCGCGGAAGCTTCACACTCGCTACTCCATCTATCCACTTCGCTAGCGACCGCGTCGGTCTCTCAAGAGCGATTGGCTGGACGACGGTGAGTAACCTCATGATTTGCGGAGAAAAATGAGATTTCTGACATTGAACGTGGTAGTCATCATGCGCGCTCACTATCTAGTCGCTGGCTTGATCGGCCTCGCTGGTCTTGCCTTCGCCGCTCCTACTCCCGAGTCCACTGCCGTCTCCCTCATCCCGACCTCCCAACCCGCCGACATCGCCGACCTCGAGTATGTTGCTCCCGAATGCAATATGGGACAACAGCCAGACATGTGGCTCGCGGCTATCTGCGGCAACCACACCAACACGAGCACCATGCCTAAGACCTGGCTCGGCGTCTGCGCACTACTTACCGCCGGCGTCGCGCATGAAGTCACAACCACGGTTCAAGACCCTGGTCTCATGTGCAGATTCTACGACGACAGCGACTACTGCAACAGCGACTACGTCGTCGCTACCCTTACCCATCATTTTCGGATTCCGTCGGCGATTGGCAAGCAGATCAAGTATGTCAGGTGTGATAAGGCGCCGCCACGTGGGGATTCTGGTGAGCTCGAGGCTAGAGCTCATGATGCTCTTCTGGACGATGCTCCTTTTGTTCTTGGAGCGGAAGATATCAAGCATGCCGAAGAGAATGACGCTCTTCCCATCCACGACGCCGACCCCATTCGACTCGAGGACACTTCATCTTCCTCCGCCTGTATGAACCCCGATGCGAGCCACTACTTCTTGTCCATCTGCGGCAATGGCAACGCCAACAACATCCCCAACAATTGGATGAACGCATGTGTGTCGCTGACCAGTACCGTTGGGTACCACGTCGAAACTGTTACTCAGAATGCGCGCATTATGTGCAAGTTCTACGACGACAGCAACGAGTGCAAGGGCAACATCGAAGAGGTCTCCATTATTACAGAGAAAGAAGAGAGCTTTAGGATTGACCCCGAGATTGGAAAGCGGATCAAGTATGTCATGTGCAAGATTGGTCGGTGGCGCAGGGACGTTGGTGGGATTGAGGGTAGATCTGATGGTTCTCCTCTCGGGTCACCGACAACAATTGTCGACGCCGACGTCGCAAAGAAACCCTGGGTCTGCCAGTACCCTCACTTCGCCTCAGCCTACCGGTACTTAGTAGTCTGCTCCCAGGCCCACGCCCAACAGCTGCCGGACATTCATCGGGGAGACTGTATGAGGCTGTCAGACCCAGTTGCGCTTCACGTCGACAGTTTCCTCCAAGACGAAAACACGGTCTGCGATTTCTACGACAGCAGTAACGGATGTCTCGGCAAACAAATCTTTCACTCGATGACACGGGAACATCAATATCGATTCGATATTGATTCGAAGTGGGGAACTTGGATTAAGCATGTGAGGTGTCGGTATGACGATACGTGGTACCAGGCTGGTGGGATTGAAGCTCGAGAGGTCGATGTTCCTTCCTCATCGGAGATCTTGGTCGCTCCGGAAATCGTAGTCGCTCCAGACACCGATGTCTCGCCAGGCGCCGGTGTCTCACCAGACTGGGCCTGCATGAACCCGTCCCCGGATAACCAATACTTGGTCGTCTGCAGCCATGGCGTAGGCCAACTCATGACCAACAAGCTCTTGGGTAACTGTCTGAAGCTAAACAGCGATATCGCGTATAATGTCGATTCCTTCATTCAAGATCAAGGTCTGAGGTGTAGGTTCTACAACGACCGCCACTCAGACTGCAAAGGCGAACTCATTTACACCGCTCAAACTCTGGATAAGCAACACCTCTTCAAGATCGATGCGAAGTACGGGACTAGGTTCAAGTATGTTTGGTGTTACAAGGGCGACCACCAGCTGAGCGATGTTCCTGCGCTCGAAGCTCGAGTAGCGGATACGTCTCTCGAGGCGCCATCTTTCGCGGTCGAGGAACCGTCCGGGCTCATCGCGCGACTCATCAGCGATACCGGTTACGCTTTTGAGTATCAAGAGAACTTCGCTGGGCTCTGCATCAAACTCCCGGATACGGTATCTCGTCATTTGACGCACGCAGCCTTGGTCGATCATACCCTCTGCAGGTTCTACGAGAGCGGCTGCTTTACTGTCATTAAGCCTCTCTTCACTGCAAAGAGCGAGGCCCCCTATACCAAAGTTCCTGTGCCATCGGATGTCAGCAAGAAAATCACCCACGCTGTCTGCGGGCCTTCGTCTGCCCCACACAATGAGATCGATGCGCGAGCGGATGCTGTATCTCTCGAAGCTAGCCCGACAGCCACTTCTGCAACAACGATGGCAAAGGAGTTCTTAGCGAGGATCTACAGCAGCACAAGCAACATGGCTGTTCTCAGCGACAAGAATAGAGCCTGCGTTCGGTTCAACGACGATATGTCCCACGATGTTACCAAGGTAGAAATGGGAGCCAACACTCTCTGCGTGTTCTACGACAACGCTTGCAGTCGAGCTGGATACCCCGTCTTCACCTTTTCGACCACGGAGGGGTACTTCAGTCGAAACGTGCCAGCAGATGCTTCCAAGCAGATTACCCACGTCATTTGCGGGAAGAAAGACACTCATGCTGCGATCGAGACACGAGCGGATGCTACAACGGCATATTCGGGAACCCTTGCGAGAATCTTCAGCAGCACGAGTCGTCATGCTATCCTCAGGGAAAACAGCCGAGCCTGCGTTATGTTAAGAGATCGTGTTGCCAACAGTGTTACCAGTGTAACTGTTGCAGCTCACACTCTCTGCGTGTTCTACGACAATGATTGCACCCTAGCTGTATACCCCGTCTTCAGCGTTTCGACCGATAAGGAGCAATTCACCACTCGAGACGTGCCAGGGGATGTTGGCAAGAAGATCACCCACGTCCTTTGCGGAAAGAAAGATGGTTATGCCGACGTCAATGCGCGAGCGGATGATTCATCTCTCGAACCAGCAGCCCAGAAGACGAAGATGGCCCGAGTCCTCAGCGATACAGCCGACTTGTACATCTACGACGACAACGATGCGGATTGCGTTGCGCTCAGCAAGCATGTGGCTAATGACGTTGTCGGAGTACAGCTGGAACCCAACATTCTCTGCGTGTTCTACACCAATGCCTGCAATATCGCCAAGTTCCCGATTTTCCGCGCTTCGAATCCTTGGAGCAATGCTGTGAGTGTGGATATCCCGGGGTACACTGGCCGCGACATCACGCACGTCGCTTGCGGCAAGAAGCACACTCTTGATGCTGAGATCGATGCCTGGGCGGCTGCTACACCGATTGTCGATGCCCGAGCGGAAACCACACCCACTGTTGATGCGCAGGCGGTTACTACACCCATTTTCGACAGCACAGTACTGACGACTTTACACTTGGAGGGTCCAGAAATCGCCAGGGTATTCAGCAAGACTGCCATGTTTGGTATTAAAGATGAAGACGCCAATACCTGCATCCCACTTGGCGACTCCATTGCGAATGATCTTTTCGCCGTGGCCGTACACGAGAACGTCCTCTGCAGGTTCTGGGAGAACAGCTGCGACGTAGCCAAGGGTCCTCTGTACCAGCTCCACTCGAACAAGGGGGATGTTGCCTCTAAAGTGCCTTCAGACATTGGCAAGCAGCTTACTCATTTCATGTGCATGCGTACTGAGCCTGAAGCTGCTATCATTACGCGAGAAGCACGAGACACATCGATGGCCGACCCTGGAGCCATGGCCTTCCTATTCGGCAGCACTTCCCAGCTTGGTATCTACGATGAAGACACCAAGAAGTGCATCCCGCTTGGCGACTCTATTGCGCATGATCTCATCGCTGTGGCTGTACCCCGAAATGTTTCCTGCTCGTTCTATAAGGACGGCTGCGATGTATCTAAGGGTCCTACCTTCCTTGTTGCGTCGGGCCAGGGGCGTGGGGATGTTCATTACGTGCCCTCGGAGATTAGCAAGAGGCTTACTCATGTCACCTGTGTGCGTACTCAGCCTCCCGCTGAGATCATTGCGCGAGAGGAAGGTTCTCGGTCCAATGTAGCTCTCATCACTTCCGCGGCCTCAACAGGCAGCACACCGGATCCAGCTACCGACATGACCATTGCCGAGAGTCAATACCCCCGAGACGGATATAGCCCCGTGGACCTCCCAGTCGGCGATCTATTCACCTGCTCTTATGAGCAAACCGATAGCTGCTGGATCATGGATGCACTCAACGATTGCTTGGAATTCCCTACGAACACCGCCCACAACGTCATGATCCTCGAGCAGGCTAAGGGGACGTATTGTTGGTACTACAACAAGCCTGGGTGCAAGGATAGTGATGAGGTTTTCCATCACACATCGGCGCCAGGAAATCCGACTGCCTTTATTGGGACCTTCTTCAAGGATCTCGCGAGTGCGGTGTGCGGAGGTCCCAGTGTGACATCTGAGCTGGAAGTTATTCCCCACGACCATGCTATCGAAAAGGTCACCGCCGTAGACAGGCCCATCTACGCCGACGATATCACCAAGCGCGATTCTCTCCCCACGGACTCGGCACCTTCATGGACACTTCCTAGAATCATCCGAGTGGGCGAAGTATTTGCCTGCTCCGAAGACTTTGCCTCCGGCTGCTGGTACATCAACGCCCAAAATAAATGCACGGATTTTCCGGCCCAGGTCGCCCACAAGTCCCAATTCATCATGCAAGCCAAGGGTACATGGTGCAAGTATTACCTTGAAGCCGGCTGCTCGCACGAAGCGTGGCAGTACGTATCGACTCCCACGGATCACACTACGTTCGGGGTCAAGACCAACTTGGTTGCGAGCGTGGAGTGTCAAGCTTCTAAGGCGACTGTGAACGAAATAACCAAGCGCGACTGGCCCCCAGGCTCAACAACAGTCTGCCACCAAGCGCACTACCAGTTCTGCACCGACAACGCCATCAACGCTATTCAGCAATGCGCCAACTTTGCTCCTGCGGATCAGGGCCCGATCTCGATCATCCAGTATGGTGGCGCATACTGCAAGTGGTACCGCGACTTTGGCTGTGGAGGTGGAGAGGACAAGTCGCCCATGAGCATTGATTCTAGGGGTGGAGAGCAGTGGGTTGATGACTTGAGCGTGGAGAACAGGTTCAAGAGTGTCAAGTGTGAGACGTATCAGTGGTAGGCCTTAGCTGACTGCGAGTCTTCTTGCGGATGTGATGAGGAAGCGAAAGTAGCTTCTTTGGATACCAAGTAATCGAATAAGTAGAGGAATGGAATAACGTTCCCTCCATCTTGTCACTGTGTGAGATAGGTCTGGAATATGCATCGACGTTGGGTCACCTACTTTGCACGTTGTCATATTCATGTAGGCTGCAAACCCATTCAGCTTTTCCCTACGTTGACGTGACTTGGAGGATTCTGGCCCGGTAAGCGTGTCAGTAAGGCGTACTTGACATACACGCTTTCCCTTCTTCGGTTAGCACGAACATAACCTAGCGCGTCCCAGGGAACCAACCCTCCTACCCCGCAAACTTTCTCTCCATGTTTCGCGACGTTTGAGTAACCATCGAAATGGACAGCCCAGCTGATCTCGATGCTTTCTTCGCTTTTCAGAATAGCCAGTTCGCCTCAGACCACGCCCTAGACGATGGCAGCTTCGCCGGCCTCTCCGAAGCCCTGGCGACCTCGAACGCAGCACCAAATCAGTACAATGAGACCTGGATGATGGATCCGTCACTTCTGGATCTTTCGAATAACTCGACCGCCTCGTCGTCTCCCTTCACGCCAAGCGCATCAATATCCAGACCTAAGCTTGGCAGTCGCTTCTCCAGAGAAGTCATCCGTACACTCAAAGACTGGCTCACTGTCCATCAAAAGCATCCTTATCCTAGTGAAGGCGAGATGATGGCTCTTCAAGACCGTACGGGTCTGAACAAAGCGCAGCTCACGAACTGGTTTGCGAATGCACGTCGACGCGGCAAAGTGCAAAGTGTCCGTCCGACTTCGCCGCAAGTTAAGAACTCGCCTTCTTCTCCGGTTGACATCATTCCAAGGCCCGGAACGCCTGCTGTTAGGATTGCGTCGAATCATAAAGACCCTATGCAGCGTTGGGTGGAATCGCCGCCGGAGCATGAACCTGCTGCTGTTGGCGATATTGCGCGTGCGATGGCTTCTACCTCGCGTGAGTGACTGACTATCCAATACATTGAGGTTGTCATGCTGACTGCTAGTAGATGAAGATGCTGGGGACTTCGCGTATCATCAACCATGGGAATCGCCTTATGCCATGTCCTCGGCAAGCAGTGCAAGAACCTCTCAATCGAGTGAATTCTCGGGTCATTGCTCGTCCGGCTCGCAGACATCACTCAAAGTACGCCGCGCACCGCGCAAGAAGCGCGCCACTCGACGCCGGCGTCTCGACACGGAGAGAACCGCACCCATCGGTATGCCGTATCAATGCACGTTCTGCACGGAGGTCTTCAAGACTAAGTACGATTGGCAGCGTCATGAGAAGTCACTTCATCTACCGCTGGAGAGATGGATCTGCGCACTCCAAGGCTCACGCACTACCAAGGAGTCGATCGGAGAGCAATGTTGTGTCTTCTGCGGCGAGGTGCGACCAGATGATAAGCATATTGAAGCGCACCACTACTCTGCATGCCAGGAGAGGAGCTTACAGGAACGCACCTTCCATCGGAAAGATCATCTCGTTCAGCATCTGCGCTTAGTGCACGGCGTCGAATTTTCCGAGTGGTCGATGGCGCGCTGGATGCTGCCTATACCTGATGTCAGGTCAAGATGCGGGTTTTGCGGTACTACCATGAGTACGTGGCTGGAGAGGACCGATCATCTTGCCGATCACTTCAAGTCTGGTGTTACGATGGCCAGTTGGCAAGGTGATTGGGGGTTTGATGCATCTGTCATACCTTTAGTCGAGACTGCTATTCCTCCCGGTATGATAATCCTGACTTTATGATTGAAGGTCTATACATACTGACATCTACTAGATCTCATCGATTGGGAGCGCGGCACTCTCATCCCCATGAAAGGTAGCGACCCATCATGGGGTACTCCACCAAACGCATACGAACTGCTCAAAGTCGAGATTGAGTTCTTCATCCAGCGATATTTCGACAAACATGGGTACTTGCCGGATAACGACGCGATGCAACTAGAAGCCTGTCGCATCATTTTCGCAGCTGAAACCACTTCCGTCATGCATGGACCAGACACAAACCATCTCCACGAGGTTTCATGGCTACGAGACCTGATGATGTCATCACATGAGCTGACTGAACACGCGAGATTCCAGCCCGTTCGATCTTCCCGCGAGAGCAGACATTTCCCGCTACGGATCAATGCCAAGGATCATCTCTTCGAACAATGCCCGCTGGAGGCGCAGCTTCGTGCTTTCGTAACTCAGCGCATAAATACATGCGAGGCGCTCGACGATGTGCAACTGCATCATGAAGCATGTCAAATTGTTCGGCGCATGGAGCAAGAGTCCAGTACGCCATCCGACGTCTTCGCCAATTGGATAGTCAAAGGGATCTACTCGGGCACAGATTGGATATCGCTCTTTAAGCAACGCGCAGGTATCTCTGATGATGTAACTACCGACATTCCGGCAGATCATGGCTTGGGCGAATTACTAGACCTCTCGTGGCCAGCCTCGCCTCCTAAAGAAGCATCCACTTCCGCTCTTGGGACCGCAAGTCCATCCAAGCAAACCCACGACTACTTCACTACGCTTCCCACATTCTCGGAAGAACCCATACTCTCGCCTGAATCTACCGCGCAGACGGACATGTACGGTCGGTTGCGATCGCTGCTACCCGACGACACCAACTTCTACCGGATCTTCGACAGCGACATGCGGAGATGGGCGGCATCGACGCTCTCACCGAAGAATCCAAACTGCCACGTCCCTTCCGATGAGGAGATTCAGCACCAGGCGCGATGGATTATGTATGATGGTGACGACCCGTGGAACCAGACACCTGCGGACTTTCCGAACTGGCTGTCACGGTTCAAGAGGGAGATTGGGATTGTGGCAGATGACGAGGGAGTGAATCCGGGTGATTTGGTGATGTGAATGCAGTGAATAGATGTTGACATCGATCATTTGTTGCCGCCTAGAAGTACGCCGACCTTTCCAGAGCTCGTGCGCATAGAAGAAGGCTTGGGTGCTTGCTACGGAGCACCCCCAAAGATTCATAATCCCTTACACTCAGTAAGACAAAACAGATTTTCTCTCAACCCACCACTTCAAAGTCTGGTAGTCATGAGCTCTCTACTACTGCGTGTATTTCGGTCCGTGTTGACCTCATTGTTTGAGCATGCCGGCTATCCTTTTGTCACGAGCTCTCCAAACCGACATACACCCTTTCAATCGAATTGCGCAGTTTCACCAGCAGCCGATACCACAACTGCTTCATCAGGCCAACCCAAAAACTCCCACTATGAGTCACCAGGCCCGTTCCGGCTATTCTCACTGCCAGGGGAGCTCCGCAACATTGTCTATGCTCACGTCCTCGAAACGGACGAGCCCATCCTCATGGCACCATACCTCAAGGACGGAATCCTCCACCAGCGTCTGGTCCTCGACGATCCAACCCGAGAACTACGGATTGACCTAAATCAAATGAAATTCATCTGCAAACAACTCTACGACGAGACATCAGCTCTCCCACCAACCCGCTGTCCGGAACTAATCTTCCCCCTCCGCAAAGACACCCCCGCCTCCGCTTCTAGCATATGCGCAGACTACATCGCCAGTGCCAGACCCGAACAACTCAACAGCATCCGCCGCATCCACGTCCACGAGCGCATCGCATACAGACAGGTTCCTTTCTCGCCGCACCTCTTCGACCCTTGCATGAACCAGCTCGTCACATTCGCCACCGACCACCCTTCCACCTCGCTCCAAACCTTCCTCCATGCCGTAGACCCAAAGGTCTCCAACGACGTATCCAAATTCCCCATCGCAGGCTTTTCCTACGAGATAGCCCGCAAACGGGTAGACTCCACCTCCGGATACTACAGCGCTTGGTACAATATCGACAGGGCTCTGGACGAGATGGCGGAGACATGGTCGGACCATGCGTTTGAACCGCAGCCGTTTCCGGGGAATTTCGTGTTTAGGTTGGGGTGTGGGGTTAGGTGGTCGAATTGGCAGCAGTGGGTTGGGTTGGAGTTTCCGAGGCCGATGCTTACGAGGACGGGGCCTAATTATACGGGGAGGTATGATATTTGGTTTTTGGGGCGGACGTGAGGCGGGCGATGGAGATGGTAGGGTGGAGCTTGGGGGAGGAGGGTGGTTAGATGGGCGGTAATTCGGGTGATGGAAGTCATAGGGCTGAGGTTGTTCACATACATGAGATATCATCCATCATGCAAACATCGCAAGTGCCTGAAAAGAACAGCAGTTGTTTCCTGAAAATCTCTGCATTCATATGAACTATACGGCGGCAGCAGAACTAAGTTCCTTGAGCCTTCTGCCTCATCCATTCAACCCGTCCCACCCACCTTCAATCTTGCCGCGGCGGCGGGAGAATATACCCGCCGTAATCGAAGACGTTGACCCCGGTGGGCTCGAACATGCCCTTTAAGCCCAAGAAGTCTAGCTGTGCAGGATCAAGTGCTGGCTGCGACACGATCTCTTGGGATAGCGGTATACCTGCCGCTCTTTTAATACGAGCCTGTGTAAGAGGCCCCTGTTTTAGCTAAGAGCTAAAACTTAGTTATACAAAAGCACTTATAGTTATATACTTTTACGCCTACTCTTACTATTTTTTTATACTTAGTTTTATAATTTTTAAATTTTTTTTAGTATATAATTTAAGTTAAAGTATTACTTTTTATAATTAGTTTAAGCTTTATTTTTTTTTAATAGCTTACTTAGCTTTATTAAGTAAGCTTAAAATTTTTTTTAGCTAAAACTATTATTTAAAGCTATACTTATTAACTTAGTTTTATAGCTTTTAAAGTAGTACTTACTATTTTAAAAGTTTTTTTACTTTTTAGTAATAAAAAATATAAACTAAACTTTAGCTTTTTAAATAAAATTAAAAAAAGTAAAGTTTAACTTTTTATAAATAAAAATTTACTTCTTTTATAATATAGTTAAGAAATTAATTATAGTACTTTTAGTAGCTTTACTATTAATAAGTAAAATAATATAATTATTAAAAGTAGTTATAACTAAGTAATATAATAAATAATAGTATCTTATATTTAATTTTATAAACTTTATTTAGTAAAAAGATATTAAAAAATACTTAGCTTTTAAAGTTATTTTAGAACTACTAAAAGATTTTAAAATTTTAATATATTTAGTATATATTACTATTAGCACTAAAGCTTTTATATAAATTAATAATATATTACTTTTAAAGCTTTACTAAGAAGAGAAACTTTATATTAAGTAATATTTATAGTATTAATACCTTACTATATTTAATCTTTAGCTATTAATATAATATAACTTAAGCTAATAAAGATAACTACTTTTTTAGTTTTTAAAAGTAACTATAATAGTAAAATACTAATATAGCTACTATTTATTTAATAGTATTATTATACTAAAAGTAAACTTTAAATATTTTATTCTTTTTAGTTTATTTATTATTACTTTAGCTAAGAATTCTAATAAATACTTTATACTAGTATATAATAGCTATCTTTATCTTTATAAGTAAAGCTATTTATAGTTTAATTTTATATATAAAGTTATAAGTATATATAGCGTAAATAATTAATAAATTACTTTAAGTAAAAAGAGTAATACTAGTAATATAATAACTATTTTATTACTTTTTTTAAAGTAAGTATAGCTTATAAAAAAACTTTTATATATTACTAGTAAGTTACTTAAAAGCTTAGCTATAATAAAAAACTATAAAAAGTTTTAGTTTATATATTAAAAGTTTTTATAGTAGTAGTATAATAATTTTAATAGTATTAATAGTAGTAATAGTCTTAGTAGTCTTAAAATATAATATAAAATAAGTAAAGTAAGCCTTAAAAGCTTTAATAATAGCTTTTATAATAGCTTTAATAATAGTTATTATAGAATATACCTCTAGATACTTCTTAAGAGTATAGTACGTAATTATACTAGTATAGATTAAAATAAGCTCTTAAAAGCTTTACTACTTAAAAAAGCTTTCTAAGTAAGCTTATAAAATAATAATTTATCTTCTATTTATTTCTATACTTCTAAACGTAATAATAGTTTATATAATAATTACTAAAATAGCTTAACTAAAAGCTTTCTTTTTAGTAGTCTTAGAGTAGTTTATAGAAGCTTTAATAAGTAATATAATATAGTATAAGAATATAATTAATAAAGATAATATAACTAGTAATAATATTAGCTTTAAATAAACTTACTAATACTAAAAAAACTTATAAAAGAGTAAAGATATAGTTAAGAGATTATTTATAGTATAGCTTTAGTATTAAATTTAAGCTACTATTTATATTTTTAATAAGTTTTAAATTTTTAATTTACTATAAGCTATAAAATAAAAATAAAAATAAAAATAAAAATAAAGAATAGAAAGTATATATATAGAAGTATAATTTTACTTACTAAATATTTTAGTATTTTATTACTTTATAATTTATAGTTTTATTAGTTATAAGCTATTAAGAATATATAATTATATTATAATTTTTTTTACTATAAGTAGATATTAGTATTTATAAAATAGTTACTTTACTATTTTAAATTTTAAAAGCTTTAACTATACTAAATATAATAGTGCTAAAAACTTAAGCTTTAGTCTACTTAATACTTATACTTTTAAATATAGAATTTTAACTTTTTTAGAAATATATCTTTTTATATACTAGTAATAGACTTTACTCTTTTTAGACTAGTTTATACTATAAAATTAGTTTACTAATAAATATAATAAATAAAAAGAAGAAAATTAGTTTAGTATATTATTTTTATACTTACTACTACTTATATAACTATAATATAGCTAAAAGAGCTTTATAGTTTATAAAGATATACTTAAGATACTATTAACTAAACTATAGTTCTACTTTATAAAAAAAAGATAGTCTATATACTTAAATATTAAGGTTAGAATAAGCTAGAATAGACCTAGTAGTAGTAGTAGTAGCTGTGTAAGAGGCTGTTAGTTAGTTAACAACTGTGGTGGCGGCATTTGCGCTTCTCCAGTAGCAGAGGTCTGCTGTACCGGCAGCGATTGCTGCGCTTGATGCAGTGGCAGCGTTTGCTGCGACCGAGGTGGACCATATGGGCCCATGTCTAGGTCAGGGTACCTTGCACGCTGAAGCGCCAGGAACTGCTCACCGTCTGTCAAGGCCTGCTCAACTGGCGTCTCGCCCACAATCTCTGGCACCGTCTGGGTTGCCATCGCGGGTTTGCGTCTCGTTTCTGCGTTGAGCTGATGTACTAGCGTGAGATGTTCGCGCCTCAGCTGTTCATGCTTTTGCTGCAGTGTCGTGATAGCAGTCGCCTGTTGCTGCATTGTCATGATAGCAGCTTCAAGAAGCTGCTCTTGCTCTTGCAACCTACTTTCCAAGTGCCTATTGTAGGCATGCCTAGGGTCAGTACAACTGCTTCGAGGACCGTATGTCTCGGGTACACGGCCATACTCAGCGCCGTAGCTGCTGTTTTGATAGCCGGCATGATAGCCAGGCTTTTGGTATTCACCAAAGCGCATACCGTCAGCCGACTTCTGATGGTGGCGCACTACAATTGGGCGGAGACTCTCCGCGTAATGTCCACGTTGTGGATTGTCATGCTGCCGCTCATTAGGCGGGCCATCGCCACCGTTACCAAGGCCTTGGCCGAAATGCTGCTGCAGGTGCGAATCCTCTGCCATGGTGGTGTTCATGGTCGTTTGCAGCGGTGTGGGATGTCGATGCTGCGGTCAAAGATTCAGGTGTCGCACTGAGAGTCTTCTCTGTTTGGCCAAGGCGCTAGTGCACTGATCACGTGCTCGGTGACGCCGCTCACGCACCCTTTGGGCCGTTGCCATCACGCAGCGCCATTGCTACAGAGCCAAAGAGCCATGAGGTCCTCGAAAGCTGAGCGACGTCAATACAGGCTACACCGCTGGCAATGCCGCAACACGATTTGGGAATTTGCAATGTAGACTGCAGGTACATCGCTTGATCAACATGAGGACTTCCTCCATACATGCATCAGATTGACATCTCTGTACAATTTCATAATGCGTATAGCGAGCCCCATATATTTTGGAACGGCATCAAATTACGAACACAACGTATCCTTGCATGTTTACACTGCAAGCCGGGGCATACACTATGTCATCACACAAACGCGACCGTGCTAGAGATTCCGAACGTCAACTTACCTTCACTTCATGTCAGTGCGCTGAGCCCTCGCTTAGCCTGCGCATTTGCTCTTGCCTCCTCCACACGGTTTTGCTCTAGCAATCTCCATACTCTTCATTCCGACATCCCGACAGCGGTAGTCAGCGACAGTGACCAACAGCATGGCTCAGCCGATGGCGAATGCAAGTCCTGAGGGCGACGGCGCGGGTACTGTCTCCTATTGCAAGCACTTCTATGTCACTAACAATGTTGCCAGTGCCAGCACCGATCCGGCCTCAGCTCCAGAGCCCGCTTCTTCGACTACCTGGCGAGATACGCAACAAGATATACAAGTACGCGCTAATGGAGACAAGACCGCTTCAAGTTGCCGGTCAGCCTTTGCAGCTGGCTCGCAAGGCGAAGTACAGGCAAATCCATCATGTCAACGAACTTGCGCAAACTTGTCGGCAGCTTCGTCTCGAGACGGCAGACATGGGATCGGCATGGAAATGCGTGTTCTCTTTACACAAAAGCCTTATACCCACCTCTACACCTATCTGCCTGATAGTTCACGCAGATCAACGCGGAACCTGCGACTTCATCCACTTTGGTCACAATTTCCGCTGCTTCGTTGCATTTTGCATCAGACATCCCGAAGTCGATGTGGCTTTCCTCACCAAGTCCATGAAAATTGGAGAAAAGCCTCGCGATCTCCTCATCTTTGGGGCTGCATTACAGCTGTACTTGCGAGGAAAGCGGGTATCGTTCAAGGTTGATGACTGGTTCACAAACAGGGTCAACAAGAAGGTGGCTATGATAAAACATGAAACACGCTGCGAGACTTTCGAGGAGGGCAGCCGTTTTCCTCCCAACTTGAAAATCTTCCCAGACGAAGATTATGATGAGACACCCATCAGACACTCTCGCATGAAAAGGATGGAGGGGTTTGAAGAC